CCTCTCCTCAAACCTGGATTATTTTGAAGCGAATTTCAGACATCAGATAATTTCATTAAGATTCCAGTTATATTACTAAAATATAAGGTATCTTTACAAAAACATAACCACAATACCATTATTGCACTAAAAATTAATACTTCCTTAATGTCATAAAATATTCACTGTTCTAATTTCTGCAATTATCTCATAATCCCCTCCCTTCTCCTCTCTTTCCTTCCAGCCATTTTGTTTCTTTATTTCTTCTTTGCCTACCCCCCTTTTACTTTAAAAAAAAAAAAAAGGCAGAGTTATTTGAATAAAAATCCAAGTAAGGTCTTTATTTTTAATCTTCATGCTTCATGTTCTCATCAGCACCTGGCTTTAGTGCTTGACATACAGAAATCCTCAGTAAATGTTTAGTAAATGAATGATTCATCAGAGATCTATAAAATGGCCTAGTTGAATGAGTGTTACCTTACTGTCATGTTTGGTTGGTTTCTTGGCCTGGCGTTTGGTTTGTGGCACTTTAGTTAACAATTAACTTAGATGCTGGCTACTATCAGCCATTACTAAAGGTTTGAAGACAGTGAAATGTGTCTGCGACTCAAGCATTTGCATGCTAGAAGGAAATGGGCCAGGTTTTCTTGTCCCTGTTTTTGGTCTCTAGTCTCTATTTCACTTTGAGTTTGGACTGACCATGTTTAGCTTTTTTGCTATTTCTTCAAAATAGGGATGACCCTGAAGGAGCTCCTTGAGAACATGAACAGAGCTCACCTTGTGGTGGTAGGTTTTGTACCTGATGGATTGAATTGGTTCCTCCTTCACTTACTTTATTTTTAAGAATTGGGATAAAATTGAAATACATTGAAATGCATACGGATCTGGGGCACCTGGGTGGCTCATTCGGTTAAGTGTCTGCTACCTTCTGCTCAGGTCACGATCCTGGGTCCTTAAGTTGGGCTTCCTGCTCAGCAGGGAATCTGCTTCTTCCTCTGCCACTCACCATCCCCACCCCCACTCGTGTTTGTGTTCTCTCTCTTTCTCTCTCAAATAGATAAACAAAATCTTAAAAAAAAAAAAAAAGAAAAGAAATGCATACAGATCTTAAGTGTACCATTTGATTTTTGGTAAATGTATACATCCATGTACTCACCACCTGAATTGAGATGTCAAACGTGACCCAGAAAGTTCCCTTTGTGCACCTTTGCAGCTAATTCTACCCCGTATGGTGAATCCTAACATCCTTAATTATCACTGCCTATTCTTGGGCTTTATTTAAATGGCAGCATATACTATGTACTCCTTCATGTCTAGCTTCTTCTGCATAGTGTAATGTTTTGGAGATTCATGCATCTCATTTTAGCGGTAGTTTGTGCCCTTTTTATTGATGACTAGCGTTCCCTTGTATGGATATACCATAGTCTGTTTATCCATTCACATACTGATGGATATTTGTGGTTTCCAGTTTTTGGTGATTGTGAATAATGCTGTTAGAAACATTCATGTATAACTCTGTGTGGATATCTGTTTCCGTTTCTCTTGGGTAGACACCCAGACATGGGATAGCTGGACTATGTATTTAAGTCTATAAGAAAATATCAGACTCTTTTCCAGAGCGGTTGTGTCATTTTATACTTCCACCAGCAATATGAAGAATACTAGCTGTTTCCCATCCTCACAACAGGTGGTATCAGCAGTCTCTTAAAGTTTAGCTACTTGCCGATAATTTTATTTTGAGTACTTCTCTGTGCCTTGCAGAAGAGATTATTCATTTTATGCCCCTCATGTGGACTATACTCCTAAGTCCTCAGTTTTTCAATTTTACCTATGTTTTAGGTCAGTGTTTCTTGACACGGAATATACGTGAGAATCTCCTGGAGTCTTTCCACGTAGCCCAGGTCTCCCTGCAGACACACTGTACCAGCAGCTTTCTCGGGGATTGTTCATGGACTCAATATGTATGTTGGAAAAGTTCCCCAGGTCATTCCGATTTATATTCCTAGCTAAAAACCACTGCTTCGAGGCTCAAGTCCTACCTGTGATAACAGAGGCTCTTCGTCCTGCCTACACATCAACAGGATCTGGGGAGCTTTCAACACTCACTAGTTCCAAGGTTCCAGACCACGCCAATGGAGTTGGAATCTGGGGGTGGGGCCTGAGTGTCAACTTTTTTTTTTTTAATTTCCCTGTCATTCTAATATGTAATCACATTTCCCATTGGATTTCTTTCTGTCTTCTCTTGTAGCATTTATACCTTTTCATTTTTATATTATAATACTTTTTCATGTCTTATCTCCTGTCTTAGGCATTATGTTCCTAGCCTTTCTCATTTCTATGTCTTTCATGGGGTCTGACACCTACACCTATAGCACAGTAGGTGCTCAATAAGCATTTCACGAACACATGAGTTGGTCATCAGGAAAAGATGGCAGTCACAGGTAGGTTGCATTCTGAGTCTCAGAGTCCCTGTCCTCCCTCGGGTCAGAGTTGTGATGACCAATGGGGGTAACTCCTCTGTGAGATAACAGAACCTTCCCCTGTTTGATATTTGTTTTTAGGCATATCACTGGGAATAAGAATTATATGTGTATATGGGGTAGAGGAGCAGGGTCAGGTAAGGAGACAGATCTAATTACAATGGGGGAGTTATACTAGAGTTGTGGTAAAGAAAGTAAGAAATATTAGTAAAGAGGAAGAAATTTGAGCTTACCCGATAGCCCAGCGTAGGCCACTATACACCCTTGAGCACGAGAGTGAACCAGTCTTTAGGAAGGTGGCGAGGCAAGAGTGAGCAAGAAAGATTTTAATAGAGAGACCAGAGACAAGGAGTCAGGCTGTACTTCCAGCAGAGTTGTTGAGGGCCTGGGTTGTATAGGGTCATGGGAATCGACAGAACAGTGTACTGAGAGGTATTAAAGAACCATCAGGCTTTGTGATGTATCAAATCTGGGAAACCAAAGAGCAACGCAGGAAATAGTGGTGGTGTGGAAAGATGTGGAAGGAGAGGCATGAGCTCCCTGGGTCGGGCTGTAGGGGTGGGGATGGGGGATTGCAGCTTAAATGAGGAGGAATTTCAGGTGTTTGGGTGTGAGTATCAGGAGTTCTGGGGAGTCATAGGGGCTGGAGATACAGATGCAGGAGCCACCTGCAGAGAGGTCATCGAAGCTGTGGAAGAGGGTGGTGGTGGAAGTATCCAGTCCGTGTCTCACTACTAAATCTGGCGTGGGGTGTGATGCAAAGGTCAGGGGCAGAAGGAGGAGATTATCCAAGAAGGAAAAGTTGTCCATGGTCTTAGACATTGGAAAAGCGAACAATGGTGAGAACGGTGAAAATACCCTTGAATTGGGCTAAGGACAGATGCTGACTTTCTGCTGCATCTAGCGGTCTCGGGGTGGAGGCACCACTGCACAGGGGACAGGAGAAAGCAGGTGACAAGGACAGGGGACGCAGCACACATGCTTCCACAGCTTGGAAGTGAAGGAGATGAGAGAACAGGCTAATATTTAGTGGGATTAATAAATGAAGGTTATTCCGGGTAGAATACCCTAGAGAGGGGTCTGTGTGACTGGACCTGTGGAGGCTCGGAGCCCGAGCTATACTGCTGCGTCTCATTCATCAGGGCCACCCGTGCAGGAAGTGTTGCTTGTCCCTACTAATGAGGCCCGGAGATCTTTTACTTCTGAAATCATCTCTCTCAGAAGAAAATAGGCAATTTCTCCCAAGCAGGTTGAAGCTATAGCCTGTCATTTCTAGATAGACTCACTTTATCAGCAAGCATGCAAATGACTTAGCTGATTTTCTGGTCACTGGATCAAATATCTGCAAACTTAGGCTTACTCTGACTCCCAGTTCAGCAAGTTCTCTTTCTTCTGCCTGTAAAGAAGATATTGTCTAAAGTAGTATTAACCACGAGGCAGCATCTTCATGTTGACTTTATAATTTTTATTATAAATATAAAGCAGATTTTACAAATAATTCAGAAGTGGCCCTAGCCAGACAAAATTAAATAACACAGAATAGCATGGATGAGAGGAAGTACATACAGACTGTGTCAGAGTTAGAAAACCCTTGAAAGAGGTACCTGAGTGCACAGAATTCCCAACTTGCCCTCTTTGAGGGGCCTCTTAGACACAGCATGACATCGAGTAATATCGAATGAAATCCTTTTCTCAACAGTCACAAAGAGACTGTGTCTAGAAGGAGGCTGGTTGGGAAATATGTTGCCTCTCCTTCCCCTGTCCTTCCTTTCTGTTCTGTACACTGGGACTCCTAGACGCCCATTGGAAAAAAAAAAAAAAACATTTCAGAGGCTGTTCACGGGGCCTCTGAACCAGCTACCCCCATTCCCTGTCCTAACACCCTTCTCATCCCTGCTTCCCAGGAGCATCTGCACCAGGGCAGCTTTCTGGAGGGTGAGCAGTGCCAACAGGGGTATGAGTGTGTTCCCTTCAGAGCACCCCACTTCTCAAGGACCAGTCACACTTTAGCAGAGGCCAGGTCTCCTGAGAAAGTTAGTGGGGCAGACACCACGCACAGCAGAGATGTGGAAAGTGGTGGTGGTTGAAGACTGGCCAAGGATGCCAGGAAACTGAGTTAGACTCATTCTAGCCGCAAAAGAGGAAAACTGCTGCTGCTGCTGCTCTTCTTTTTTGGAGCCCCCGACATGAGCACCTTGAGGAACTCCTGGCCAGGGGGACTTGAAGGGTTTTGGTGGCTTCTTTGACTGGAGACAGTCAGATCAGCTTATATAGCTAAGTAGAAATAGCCCCTTCACATGAACAAGCACTTGCAAAAACTGCAATGGCAGAATATCTCAGGGAAAAAAACCCAACACACCAAACAGTGCATTCTTTAATAATTATTTAAATAATCTCTGAAGGGTAGCTCTCTGACTCCTTTCCCAAACTCCCTGCTAATTATCTCTGCTAAGACCTGACAGCTCCCTGAAGCGTTGTAAGCCCTCCTTCTGTAGGCATTTCCTTGATGAAGAAAATTATGAAACATACATTCATTTTTTCTTTTGGCATTTTCCATTAGGAATCACCTGTTGACCTCAGTGAATAATTTTCCTAATTGTTTCTAGTGAGTTCTCTGAAGACAGGCTTTTCAAAGGGCTTAGGTTGTTTTCTAGTTAAGCATTAAGGTGTTTAGGCCCTGGTAGACAACTCTGACAATAGACAAAGGTGTAGAATTTCCCAGGTTAGCATATTTGTTTTCCTGTGCAGGGTGGGGTTCACAGGGGGCTTTGGAGAGATAGAAACTTTTACTTCTACTTCTTCTCTCTCTTCTTCCCTGGCACACGCATTTCATTGGGTCAGGAGAAGACTCTCAAGGTTATGGTAAATTCAAGTTAGACTCCAATAGGACAGGACTGGGGTGGGAAGGAATGACTATGCGCTGAATAAAGAAGTTTAAAAAAGGAAAGGAAGAGGGGCAGAGGTTGTGGCAACTTCCCCAGGTCCGCTTTGCCAAATTTCAATGACAAGGAAGGTTGGGTTTCCTAGGAATCCCAGATGTACCTTCTCATGTATTGACACTGAAGGGAGGGACTGTGACAAGGCGGCCTGGAGGTGCTTGTTAGGGAATAATGTGGAGAAAGAGGCTTCTTCCCCTTTTCCCTGAAGGTAAAGGGGTCTCCTCATGATGGGGATGAGAAGGTTGGAAAGAGTCAGCACAGCGAGCAGGACAGGTCACGTTACTTCTTTTGTACTTCGGTATACACCGTTTCTGTGTCTGCTGGGGACGGGGAGGCTGAAGTTGGTTTCTTTGGTTCGTGGGCACTGAAGTTCAGGGAAGAATATGCAACTTCTTCACTCTGAAAGGCATGAGCAGTGTAGTCAGTTAAATCAGAGCATAGGTCAGACCCTCACCTTGTGTGCTGTGATTCAGCACCATGTGCTATCACCATTTTGAAACTTTTTAGCTTTGGAGAAGGGCTTTAATTAGCCAAGATTACTCTGCTTGCTAACATCCGGTTGAGTGATCATTAGAAGAGGTAGATTACAGTATTTACTCATACTGGAATGCAGTGATACAGCAACAGAGAACGGACAGTCTACAAATGCATAGAAGGACATGCATGAATCTCACAAAACAATTTTGAATGAAAGAAGCTAGACACATACAAGGATGTACTGTGTATCCCATTTTGTAAGGGCATAAACAGACCAAAGTAATCTAGTGCACTGAAAGCCAGGATAGTGGTTACTCTTTGGAAGGAAATAACTGGAGGGGTTTTTTGGGGGGGAAAGGTTTTATTTCTTGACCTGGGTGACTTTTGTGGTCAACTCGTGAAAATTTATACATTGTTAAAATATATTTAGGATTTAAGTACTTTTTGGTGTATATATATATATGTATTCTACTGAAAGGTTGAGAAAAATTTGGTTAAATTATAGTAAAGTAAAGGAACCAAGACCTCAGAACCATTAGAATGGATATCATCCTTTGTTGGTGAGAGCAGGGTCAGTGAGGGTAGAGGAGGGAGAACCATCTCGTGACTTATGCTGGGCGCTATGCTGGGTGCTTTCCAGTGGTCGTCTCGTTTGAGTCCTTCAACTTCTCTTTGAAGTAGACAGCATGCCCATTTTACAGATGGCAAAACCATGGCTCAAAGAGCTTAAGTTACTTGTCCAAGGTCACAGAGCTACTGAGAGTCATAGCCAGGATTAAATACAGGATGGGGTTAATTCCAAAGTCCACATTCTTTTTTTTTTAATATTTTTCTTATTTGTTTATTAGAGAGAGAGAGCATGAGAGGAGAGAGGTCAGCGGGAGAAGCAGACTCTCTGCCGGGCAGGGAGCCCAATGTGGGATTCAGTCCCGGGACTCCAGGATCATGACCCTGCCTAACCAACTGAGCCACCCAGGCACCCCAAAGTCCACATTCTTATAATGAGGTAGACTCCAGGGAGACATTAACCAGTAATCCTTTGTTTGTTGCTGCATTGAGGAATTTTGACCCAAATTTGATCTCACATTTGAATCTTCAAGAATAACCCATTCTACACAGAGATACTTCCATGAGACATTGAAACTGGCTGTGCTTACCTTAGACAAATTGTCAGAGTGGTCCTGACCTGGGGAAACAGAAGATGATTTCCCAATCCATGAAAATGCAAAGATCATTTACGGCCGTAGAATGTGGGGTTAGGGGGTGAGAGCGAGAGAGTAGGGAGGTGGGTCCTAAGCTGTTGTGATTTCTAGCTGAAGGAGGTGGCAGTTGGCAGGAGGGTGGGGTAAGGAAGTGGCCTATGAACACCTGAGGAATTCACTTTCCTCAGAGTCTGTGGTCCAGACCCAGGGCACTGGTACCAGAGGAGGGCCAAGAGTAGAGCCACAGGAGGCCCCAGTCCACTTCTGACAATTTCTTCCAGTTCACAGGGTCTTAATTTTCACCCGGATGTATTTCTCAGCAACAGGCTTTAGTGGCAAGGAGGGACATTGAGGCCCACAGTACCCAGAGCACCATAAGACAGGAAAAGTTTCACCAAAGGAATGCCCACATCCGTCATAGAGGCAGGAGGGGAGGAGTGCGGGCAAGGAAATGACTCCTGAAAATGGGTCCATCTTGCTCAGGCCTGCTTGGCCCAGGCAGAGTGAATATTTCTCCCAGGGCTGTGTCTCAGGGGAATCTTTTGTGGCTAGAAGGGTGTGAGGACCTATGCCAACCTAAGGTTAGGAAATGGACATCCCCTTCCGAAAGTTCAGAAGGTCAGAAGTAGTTTGGGAATCCAGGATTCCCTGCTACGGCAGGGCACATGGTGGAACACACCAGGTCTCACTGGGTGAGTGGCTTTACTTACTGTGGTTGGAGGCTGAGGGTTTGTGCTCTGTGACATCACGCAGGTCATTTGCCCTAAATAAATATCAGACACTGTGACTGCCATTCCCAAGCACAGGACCTTTGCTTCTTGAATTAGGAAGGACATGGTCAGCAAGTAATTCCTTGGGGTTCCTCAGTGTTCATTTATACCGTGGTTGGTACTGCCTTTCCTCTTAGGGCCTCCTCCTTCAGTCTACCCACGATCCCCTCTAAGATTTGTTCCTTTCCTGTTTGCTGGATGTCCACATGTGGGTCCGTTGCTTATCAGTTGCATCGGAGCCTACTTGGATTCTGACACCTTTCCCCTTCTGTAGGTAGGGGGTAGCTTATTTCTCAGTTTACTTATTGTCCAAAAGGCCTTTGGTTGTTTTTGCCTTTTCTTAGGTTCTCCTCCTGTCCTATCCCTCCCTCCTACAATTGTCAAAAGAGCACGCGACTCACTTTCTCCTGCTCCTCCTTTCATTTCCTCATTTGTTTCCTCCTGGGACCTTGTCTTCCCTGACTAGGAGACAAAAACATAGGGGGATCTTCCCCCTCTAAGCCAGATGCAGATGGGAATAACTGTGTCCAAGAGAGAGTGGGGTCCGGGAAGCATGAAGAAGAGATCCACAGGAATTAGTGCCAGGAAGCAAGGGTTTAGAAAGAAGGGAGGAGCAGATCCAGGTGCAGAGACAGGGGCAAAGTCTTCTTCCCTCTCCCAAGCATGGCAGTTAGCCTTAGAGAAAGCAGAACAAGATGAAAGGTCATCATACCCGCCAGTCTTTCTGATAAACAGAAAGTACACCAGGGCTGCTATCACAGCAACCCCAGCCAGGACTCCAACAACGATGCCAGCAATAGCCCCAAGTGGAAGGCCAGAATTTGACTGCGTTAAATCACCTGTCATGGAAAGAAGAGAGAAGAATGAATGAAAGTGACATTATTTCACAGTGGGGTCCCCTGGGGGACAACTCTCAATGTGTAGTAGTCTCTACTTGTTCCTTCAAGGAATACATTTTCTGTGGGAAGGTTGCTGTGCGGTAATTAGTTGACTTCATTCTTCGATTTTTTTGGTCTCACTGTATTTTTGGGCTGGTGATCAGTCTTACCTCAGTTCCATCCTGGCCTGTCTGCACTCAGATATTTTTGAAGGCTTTGGAAATGTGAGAAAGACTGATTGCTATTTTTCTATAACTTCCCACCTTTTCATGTGCCTGCTGTGGCAGCCACACAAGTATGTGCCCCTCCGGTTTCTTGTGGTGAGGACTTAAGTGACAGAAGGCCTGGGGAGTGCATTCTGAATTCACCCATCTCCTTTGCACAGAGCCCATACTTCTGACAGTAGGGGGAAAGGATATGAAGTAACCCAATTCTGTGAGAAACCATTTTCCTCTAAAGGGTGACTTGAGTTCAAGGACCCCTCCTCACATCAGCCTTGCAGACAGGCACCCTTACATAGCTGCGCTTTGATCTAAAACTTCATTCTGTCACAATTACACGATGGTCTGAGCAACCTCCCAGGCTCCTCCCACTCCTGTCTTTCCCTCACAGGCATTTTCCCCAATAAATAAATAAATATTTTCCCAATAAATATAAATAAATAAAAAGTCCCAGTTTGATTACATCTCAGGGGATAAAAACTAACATAGCAGGCTTGAAACTTTGCATTTGACTCCTTTTTATCTTTTCCTGTATTCAGTCAGGAACTATGTCCCATTGGCTTTTTGCCTAATGCCTTCTACAGCCATAAATAATACATTTGCATCTGTTTTTTTTATTTTTGTTTTCTTCACCAGCCAACACAAGCCTGATGTATTAATATTAATGTTTAGCTACTATTATGGCATACTTAGTATGTACCAGGTTCTGTGGTAAATACATATATCTCATTTGATCCATATAATAACCCTTTCCACTTTACAATATTTCCACTTTACAATAACCTAACTTTATAAAAAACTGAAAAAAGAAGAACAAACTAAACCCAAAGCTAGCAGAAGGAAGAGAATAATAAGGATTAGAGTGGGGATAAATAAAATAATGAGTAGAAAAACAATAGAGAAAATCTATGAAACCAAAAATTGAGTCTTAAAAAAGATGAATAAAATTGACAAAACTTTAATTTAAAAAAAGATTCAAATTACTAAAATCAGAATTGAAAGTGGGGGAAATCACTATCAATTTTATAGAAATAATAAATATTACAAATAATAAATATTATAAGATAATAAATATTTTTAAAGTACTATGAATAATTGCAAACAAATTGGATAACCTGAATGAAATGGACAAATTCTTAGAAACACAAAACCAACCAAGATGGAATGATGAAGAAATAGAAAATATGAAAAAACCTGTAACTAGTAAGGAGATTGAATCAGTAAGGGCATCCAACAAAATTCAATATCCTTTCATGATAAAAACCCTAAAAGTAGTAATAGAAGGAAACTGCCTCGATATGATAATGGCCACAGATGAAAAACTCACCACCAACATCTAACTCAATGTTGAAAGACTCAAAGTTTTTCCTCTAAGATCAGGAACAAGACAGGGATGCCTGTTTTTGTCACTTTTATCCAAAATAGCACTGGAAGTTCTAGCTAGGGCAATAATTAGGCAAAGGTATCCAAATTGGAAAGAAGAAGTATAAAATGATCTTTGTTCACAGAGGACATGAACTTACACATAGAAAACACTAAAGAGTCCACAAAATCTGTTATAACTAATAAATATAGCAAAGTTGCAAGATACTAAATCAACACACAGAAATCAGTTATATTTCTATATATTAACAATGAATAATCCAAAAAGGAAATTAAGAAAATTCTATTTACCACAGCATCAAAAAGAATAGAATACTTAGGAACTTATTTAACCAAGGAGCTGAAAGACTTATACACTGAAAACTACACAGCAATGCTGAAAGAAATTAAAGACCGAAATAAATGTGAAGACATTCCATGTTCATCGTTTGGAAGACTTAAGAAGACAGTACTACCCAAAGTCATCTGCAGATTCAGTGAAATCTTGGTCAAAATACCAATGACTTTTTTTTTCAAAAATAGAGACATCTATCCTAAAATTCATATGTAACTTCAAGAGACCCCAAATATCCAAAACAAAGAACAAAGCTGGAGGACTCACATTTCCTGATTTCAAAATTTACTACAAAGCTACAGTAATCAAAACAGTGTGATACTAGCATAAAGACAAGCAAATAGACCAATGAAATAGAATAGAGATCCCAGAAATAAAACTTTACATACACAGTCACACCGTTTTTGACAGGGGTGCCAAGACTATTCAATGGAGAAAAGACAGCCTTTTCAGCAAATGGGTGTTGGGAAAACTAGACATCCATGCAAAAGAACTGAATGCTTACTTAACACCACATATGAAAAATGAACTCAAAGTGGATCAGAGACCTAAATATAAGAGCTAGAACTATAAAACCTCTTAGAAGAAAACACAGGGTGAAACTTCATGACTTTGGGTTTGACAACGATTTCTTAGATATGAAACTAAAAGCATAGGCAGTAAAAAAAAACTAGATAAATTGGCTTCAATTAAAATTATAAGCTTTTGTACATCAAAGGACACTATCCACAAAATGAAAAAACAACACAGAGTGGGAGAAAATATTTACAAATCACATATCCCATAAGGGGTTAATATCCATAATAGAGAACTATAACTCAGCAACAAAAATACCTAATAGAAAAAATGAGGGGCACCTGGATGGCTGAGTCATTAAGCATCTGCCTTCAGCTCTGGTCATGATCCCAGGGTCCTGGAATGGAGCCCTGCATCAGGCTCCCATCTCAGTGGGAAGCCTTCTTCTCCCTCTCCCTCTCCCATTCCCCCTGCTTGTGTTCCCTCTCTCACTGTCTCTCTGTCAGATAAATAAAATCTTAAAAAAGGGGGGGGGAGGTGGGCAGAGGACTTAAACAGACATTTCTACAAAGAAGGCATGCAGATGGCCGACAGGCACATGGAAAGAGGCTCAACATCATTCACGATCAGGGAAATGCAGGTAAAAACCACAATTAGATATCACCTCATACCCATTAGGATGGATATCATTCAAAACAAAACAAAATGAAACAAAAAAAGAGAAAATAAGTGTTGGCAAGGATGTGGAGAAGTCGAAACTTCATTGCATTTGCTGGTGGGACTGTAAGTGGTTCAGTCACTGTGGAAATGGTATGGGAGTTTGTCAAAAAATTGAACAAAGAATTACCATTTGATGCAGTAATTCCACTTCTGGATCTATGCCCCAATAAATTGAAAGCAGGGATTTTAGTAGATATTTGTACACCCATGAGGTGAAAAAAAACCTTAAAAGTTCATAGACAGATAAATGATAAACAAAATGTGATACACACGAGGGAATATTATTCAGCTTTTTAAAAGGAATGAGGGGCGCCTGGGTGGTTCAGTGGGTTAAAGCCTCTGCCTTCAGCTCAGGTCATGATCTCAGGGTCCTGGGATCGAGCCCCACATCGGGCTCTCTGCTCAGCAGGAAGCCTGCTTCCTTCTCTCTCTCTGTCTGCCTCTCTGTCTACTTGTGATTTCTGTCTGTCAAATAAATAAATAAAATCTTTAAAAAAATAAAAAATGAATGAAATTCTGACACGCTACAACATGGATGAACCCTGAAGACGTTATGCTAAATGAAAAAATCCAGAGACACACAAAAATATAAATGTCATTATGATTCCACTTAATCTTAGAATAGTCACATTCTAGAGACAGCAAGTAAGATGGTGGTTATGAGGTTCAAATCGGGAGTAGGAAGTGACTGTTTAATGGATGGTGGTGACAGCTACACAACAATACAGGTGTACTATTGCCACTGAACTGTAAACTGAAAATGGTTAAAATTATAAACCTTATGTGTATTATATGGCACAAAAAAATGGTAACAGAGGAAAAAACGAATCTTGTGTAAGGTCACACATTAAATGCCAGACCTAGGATAAGAAACTGAGTATATCTGATTCAGAGACTTAGCTCTTAACCACTCTGCCATCCTGTTTACTGAAATGTTCTCTTGATTCTATTCTGCTCTTCTGCCCCCTGTGACTTCTATCCATTTTGCACATCATTGGTAGAGTGATTGTCCCAGGATGTTACACTGGGAAAGGTGTCAGTTACCTTTCACAGCCAGCCTGACAGGGTCACTTTTACTGGAATCGCCTGGGTTGGAGACCTCACACTGGTAATTCCCGTCATCCTCCTTCCTGACAGGGCGTATGGTAAGGGTGCTGTTGTCCTGGGACAGCGTCATCCTCTCCGTGTCCTTTAGACTCTGGCCATTGAAGAGCCACCCAATAGAGACCCCAGTGTTATTTGTGGAGCAGGTCAGGACCACAGAGTCGTCTTCTGTGAGTGTGGTATTGCTGGCATGGAGAGTGGGCTGGGCCAAGGGCTCTGTGGGGAAACACAGGAGGTGACTGATGAGAATGGGCCCCTGGGGCGTGGAGCCACAATCCTTCCTCTGAGATGCCAGCCAGTCGGAGGGCCCCAGCGAGCTCTGTAAAGGTGCCCCAGAGGATGGCCCTGCTGTCTGCAGAAGGATGAGTGTCTCTGTTCAGGTGATGATCTGTAAGGAGAGGGCTGTCCCTTGCCCTCTGACCCTCAGGTTCCCTCTGGCCCTTAGTCATGTGTCTGTTCCATCCAGACATCACTGTGGTATCAGCACCAGGAACCTCTTCTAAGCCCATGTGTCCAGCATCCTCATCATCAGGTGGAATTTTTTACACAGTGGCTTTCTCATGACCCTTTTCTAGAGCTTTCTGAAAAGATCAGGCCCCCTCTCTAGTATGGTAGCTTTACATAGAAAGGGAAGGCATTTCCCTTTTGTTAAATAATTTATTAGAAAATGAGAATGGCCCAGCCAGTCTTTGTGAGCTTAGGACCTGGAGAAGTTCCAATCTAAAGGGTTTCTCAATCTGAATCAGACTTTTACTTCCTGGCCTGTGAATTGAATATTACAGAAAGGAAATCTTTAGAGTAATGGTCACAGTTTTAACAGAAGGCTGGTACTCTTAGCTGTAGGTATAAATATATACTTTTGGCACTGTTCCTTCTGTCCCACGAAGGGACTCTGTTGGGGAATCTACCATTACTCATTGCTCTCGTTTGGTGTATCAGACGTGCTGGTTTCATGGAGGGTTCTAGAACTGGTAGACTTCGGAGCCTGACACAGAGGGTCTGCCTCAGGGCTTGCTTTGCCCATTTCTTGGCGGCCTCACATGAGGGAGACTCTGGCACAACTGGTAGCACAATTTGGCCAGATTGAAGACAGGCTTCTTCCTGTACCTTCTCCATATGCTCCTGTCCCACCACAGATGACATCAGAGCAGAGTCAGTCACAGGGCGAACCAGGAGCAAAAGGACCTTCCTTCTCTCTCTGTAAGCCCCCTCCACCACATGGGGCTTTCTGGGGCTGAGAGAACCCTATTCCCACATTCCAGGCCAGACCCAAGGTCTGCCTTGAGAAATCAGAGAGCAAGGGGAGGAAGCGTCTGCAGACATGTAATGGGAGAGTTCAGGGACAGATTTGGTATTTGCTTGTGACATAAGCAAATGGGAAATAACTTCTAGGCTCTTTTCTGGAAGCCAAACAGACCTTCACCACAGTGATCCATGCAGATGCTCCAGGGACCCACTTACCAGAGACTGTGATAGTCTTGACTGTGGTCTTATTGAGGCGAGTGGCAGAGTTAGAGGCGAGGCAGGTATAGGATCCACTATCATTCACAGTGATGTTGGGGATAAAGAGCTCCTGTGTGTATGGCTGGGGCCTCCCATTGATAAGCCAAGAATACTGTGCAGGCGGGTTAGAGGCTGCGTGGCAGGAGAGATTGAGGTTGGCCCCTGGATGGTAATATGAGTCTGAGGGGGAAATGGTGGGGGCGTCCGGGCCATCTGGAGCAAACAGAATAAAGCCACAGTTGATGCAATCCAAAGGAAGGGGAAGCACCTGGTCTGTACAAGGGCCACAGTGTACCTCTGAGCTGGGTCCCAACCTCATTTTAAAAAGTCCCAACTAGAAGCCCCCGGTGTTCAGCCTGGCTCTGAAACATTTACCTGTTTCCTCTCACAGGCTGGTGACCCTCTCAGGGAGGAGCAGCCTGTTCCCTCCTAGTCTTGGTTTAGGCCGGGCCTGCCCAGGTTTGCCTGGGACAAGAAGCCATGGCCAGCCTGGGGGTCCAGCTTAGAGTCATGGACTCGGACCCCAGAAGGATGGATGTACCCTAGCCCCTGGCTGTGTGGATTTGGGTTGGCATCCCGGGTTCGGGAGGAACGGAAGCTACTCACAGAGAACATTCAGGGTGAATGGGTCACTACGACCGTCACTCACTGGGCTCCGAGTTGCACACACATAGGGTCCTGTGTCATCCCTTATGACATCATGTATAGTGAGAGTCCTGTTGTCCAGGAACAGCTCCAGCCTGGTGCTGGTCGGGCGGCTTTTACTGCTTACTGACCACAGGTAGCTTGTGTTCTGAGTCTGAGGTTCACAGGTTAATAGCACAGAATCCACATTCTCCACGGGGTTGGAGTTGTTGCTTGTGATGTGGGGTTTGGGTAACTCCGCTGCGCAGACAACAGAAAGAACATTGTCCTGGGTAGCACCTGTGATTCCTCCACAGGCATCTTGAATCAGAGTTGGCATCTCTCACCTCTCAGCCAACCAGAGCCCTTCAAAGAATAAGGCAGATCTGTGTATCTCAAGACAAATGCATGAGGATCTGAGCCTCAGAGAACACAGGCCACCTGCTGTCTGTCCAAGAGCAAGCACAGGCTCTCTCAGGTCAAAGAACCATCAGGGTTTGGTTGTGAAAGACACAGGACAGGAGGTCAGAGACCACCCTGGACCTCTCCTGGCTCTTCCCTGACTGACCAGCCTCAGAGGCCTCACCTGGAAAGTGCAGGTTCTGAGGCCCTCGCTGCGGCACAGACCTCCACGAGTCAGCCTACACGTGTTTTTCCCCTGAGGCCTTGTTTTCCAGGGTTGTCCTAGAGATGGGTCATGATGGGCCTTCCCAGAGCTCATAAGCCCGGAGAACACTGGGCAGCATGGCCTGGAAGAGAGTATTTCAGCAGAAGTAATACCTGGGGACACCAGGGGCGAGCCCAGAGGCAGGTCAGCACCCAGGCTGCAGGGCCACGAAGTAGGGCAGGTCTCCCCAGGTGTTCCACGGTGACTGACCTGAGATGGTAGTGGAGCAGAGTCAAGACTAGAAATGATCCAGGAAAGAGTCAGGGGGACAGGCAGGGCCTGACTGGCTTTGGCAGAGAACTGTGTGCTCTGCCCTTGGTCTTTAAAGTCTCTTTTCTCACTTCAGAGGCCAGTGAGGACGATGCTCATCTTTCCTGAAATACAAGCGGCTGTTTTCAAATGCAGAAGGGGTGAATGGTGGGAGGTGAGGTGGGGGTGGGGGTGAGGGTATCTGGCCTTCATGGACCATTTGTAAACACAGTTATGAGACAGATATATGTTGTAGACCAAGTTCTGCGGTCCCGCCAGGATCACGTCATGAGCAAAGGAAGATGTTATAGTGGGTTTGAAATCAGTGACTCCCTGGGTAAAGAAAGACACATGAGTCCTGTTAAGGAACGGAATTGATCCAGGAAGAGTCTGAGGCGCCTCTGTTATATAAAGGGAGGAATGATACCAAATTGGTAGAAGTGATATGCATTATGTTAGTAAATTTAGGAAAGAAAGTCCCTGTCACTCATTTCTACAGTCAAAATGGGAAGAAACCCAATGCTTGTATGTGGCTTTCTTTTGATCTCAGGAAACACAAGTTTGATCAAATTTGTCCAAACTGGGCAGCATCTAAGTGAAAGGACAGTGACCGGTAGATCTCACCATGTGAGAGGATTCCACCCTGCGGTAGAGGTGTTCTCAGGAGCACCCGTGTGTGTGTGTGTGTGTGTGTGTGTGTGTGTGTGTGTGTGTGTTTGGAAAAGGCAAGGGACCAGTCAGATGGCGCAGGGTCTGGCCACCCCCACTGGGAAGAATGAGAGCCTTGCCAGGATGAGGATATGAATCAGGAGTAAAGGCATGAAATGAGCCCATGAGTTTTGGGGACTGCAGACCAGCCCCCTTCTGCCTTTGACGCTCTGGTGGAGTCATGTAGAGAGTAGATCGAGGGGTCACATGTCCCTGTCATGTGGTGTGTCCCACTTGTTACTGTCATGGAGGGAAAGAGCCCTGGATGAGGGCACAGCGAAAGCTCACTCTCCTGGTGACCTGGGGAAACTGGCTCCTGATGGAGCCCAGCAGAGGCTGCTGCTCTGACTGATTTCTGTTTCCTTTACTATTGCCTGTGAGGGTGGGCCTAGCCACAGGTGTTAGTGGAAGAATCCAGGGAAGGCTTAAGGGTAAAGAAGAGTGTGCAGGGCAGGGATAGTCCCAGCTGGACAGGAGGAGGAGGAGGAGGAAGATTAGGAACATGGACAGAGCAGAGAGCCAGAAATGTTCCAGGCTGTGAGCAGTGAGGGTTACAAGTGACTCCAAAGACTCCAGGCATTGAGAGCCCACAGCTGGCCCAGGGACGGGATCCTCCCATAGCTGAGCAACACCACAGTCATCATGAGACTCTCTGGGAGTGGCTCGAGGGGCTGGTGCTAAGAGAGCATGGGTCTCATAGAACAAGAGACTCAGCCCCTAGAGGGACAGGGAGCAAGTATGTCTAGAACCTCCTAGAATTCTGCATCCAGGGACCAGACTCTGAAGAGATTATGAATCATTCATTCATTCCTTTCCTCCTTCATTAAAGAGCAGTTAAGTTGTTGGGCCCTGTGCCGGTTAGGGGTACACAGTTGGGAGGAGCAGGCAGAGTCCTTTCCCTTATACTGTAGTGGGATAATATCAGCACATCAGGAAACAGTAAGTGAATCCAAGTCCAATGCAGAGAGCTGTGGATTGGCCACCTGAGGGGAGGCCTGGGCATTCCCTGCACTGACTCTGATCATTGTTGAAGGTAATTTAGTTCTTGAGTAAAAACATTAATTCTCTGTTTGCTCTCACTTCCCAGACCAGAAAATCTACCTTGAGCTGTGGATCCCTAAGAAGAAAGGTCTGATCCAACAGCTGGTCTCGGGGTCCATAGATGCTTACTAAGACCTCCTGGGTGGAGAAGACAGGGCTGTGGCTACAGACAGAACTTGTAGGATTGTGATCTGCCTGTGTGACTCTGATTCAGTTGTCTACATTGCCCCATGCCTAGTTTCCCCTCAATAAAATCAAGTAAGTGGTCTCAGGGTTGCCATGTTGTCTGTTATTAACCTTTCACAATTACCTCACCCAAGGCTTGGTAGAGAGGAGCTGCCCCATAAACAGCTGTTACTTGCCTGCATGAGAGACGGCTCCGTGGGCTGGACCCCTGGTATGGAAGTTGCTGCCAGGAGCACCTTCTCTCCTCTGTTCCTCCCTGGGGGTACTGACCTTCCTCTGGGGTCTCCTATCCCCCCAGGGCCATCATACAATAGCCCCGGGACCTTCCCTATCTCTGTTTTCCACCCCAACTCACAGGTGAAGGACCAGGCTCTGACACTCCCCAGATGCGGCTCTTGGTGCCGAGCCCTCGATGGTGACTGGCTCGGGCAGCTGGGAAATCATTGCTCTCAGTCAGAGGTGCCAGGAAGCCAAAACCCAAGCCTGTCACGGAACCCCCACAGTCACTGGAGTCAGGATCCCTGAGACAGGAGTCTGGGCAGGGGATTTCTGGGCTGAGCTCTGGTGACGATCCCAGGGGGCCCCTCAGGTTGGCCCTGGCTGGACCCTGCAGAGTTTTTTCGGATGATCCCAGAGTCTGGATTCCAGGAAAGGAATTCCAGTCTTAGGAAGTTAGTCTCCACTGTGTGTCCTGCACTGAATGCTGGAACCCTCCTCCCCACACAGGACATAATGCAGAGGGGGATGGAGGCCCAGTCCCGGCCTGTCATCCTGTGTGTGAAGTAGAATTCACCCCACCCAGCACCAGAGGTGAGAGGGAATTACTCACGGAATACATGGAGCTGTCCAGTTACTTGTGCCGTGTCATAAGTTCTATTTAAGAATTGTAGGGTATAGACTCCTGTGTCATTCAGGGTGATGTTCTGGAACAGCAGGGATCCATTAGGGTACACTGTCTCTCTGCCGCTGTATGCAGGTCCTGGAGTAGTTTTTTGTGCATCTACTGTATATGATACAATACGACGGTTCTCTGTTGTCGCCCCTTTGAACCAGTTGAAGCGTCCAGTATCCCTAGGCAGATTGTGGACTCGCAGAAGGACGTCTTTCCCTTCGCTAACACTGCGCGGCACGGACTCCACAGTGACTTGGGCAGTGGTGGGTGGGTTCCAGAGGGTTAAGAGCGAGACTAGGAAGGAAGGGAGCAGACGGATCAGGGTCTGGACCTAGGAGTCGGAGGGAAAACTGGGGCCCTGCAGATGGAGCAGGTCCTCATCCCCCAGCCTCGCAGGGTGTGTGTGTGTGAGCGTGCTCCGGTGTCTGTGTGTGTGTCTGCTGGTCAAGGTCAGCGGCATGACCGCACTGCTTCACCTCTGAACTTACTTCCTCTGTTTGGAACAACTTCCTCCCATGTGTGTCGCTCACTCCCTCACTGCCCTCAGATACCTGCTCACGTTCAAGGGGTCCTCGGGAGAGGCCTGCCCTGACCTCCTCCTCCTGACCTTTCCCTGTTCTGTTCCCGTCATGACACTTGTCAGTACCTGACCTCACATTCTAGACGTCTCTGGATGTCTGTCTTTGTCCCCACAGAAGTGAGCTCAGGGAGGGCAGAGACTCATCTGATTTGTGCTGTACCCCGGTGGTGGGGCAGGCAGCAAATACCCGGGGCTGAATGAATGTGTCCCCAGGGCCCTCCAAGTCTGGCATTTGTCGAGATCTCAGGTTGGTAGGAAGGGACAGCTCTTAGGGTCCCTAATAGGGACCCCAGTAGGATTGTTGTTATCATACGTTTTCAAAATTCAGTCCTCAGTAACTTGGGAAACAGCCCTTGGCTCACCACTTCCAGATCATGAGACAGTCCTATCGCTGAGCGGCTCCCCCATTCCTGCCCTGCTCCTCTGTCCCCTCTCAGAGTCCTGTCCTCCCTGGAGACCCCAGCCTGCCTCTCTCTCTTAACCTGCTGCTGCCTCCCAGGGAATTGTCCCTCTCACCTGCCAGCAGGAGGTCCTGCCAGGGAACCCGTCCTCCTCGGGGAGGGGCCGAAGTGGGCTCCATGGTACCTGCTGCCCGCTCTGTCACTCCCTCTGTGAGAAGAGCCTCTGCTTCAGAAATGCTTGGAGCACTGCTGTCCCAACGTGTCAGCTCTGCCGCCCTTCCTGCTTCTGAGCTGATTGTCCTCTAGGGGGGCAGGGACACAGGGCCGGGTCACGTGAGCCAGGGCGGGGTCTCTGCTAGATCCCCTCCCCTCACCTCCTTCCCCAAGTTTCAGAGTTTAAGTTTCTGTCTAAGTTTCAGAGTTCCCTGGGAATGGCTGAGGCCTCTCCCTCTTCAGCTGTGATTTCCCAGCATATGGGAGAACGCACACATGCCCTTGTTTGGACAAGCACAAGCCTGTCGCGTTGGGATCCGGTGACCCACACAGCTTGGGGTTAAGATACAGGGACAGCACCCCCACAGCCCTCTCTCCTCCCCTTGTGGCTTTCCCCTTCGGAGCAGGAGCCTGGGGGCTGCCTCAAGAACTCCTGTCACTGGGATGTCACCCCCACTGTGCACTGCAATCACCTGTGGAACTGTATCAAGACTGTGAATGCCCAGGGGACCTAGAAATGCTGCTTCAGCAGATGCCCAGCCAGGCTGAGACCCCATGATGTGGGGGGTGCGGCCGCCTCTACCCCTTCCTGTGCCCATGGAGGGTCTGCAGATCCTGTGAAAATGCAGAGTCTGACTCAGCGGGTGTGGAGTCGACCCCAGAGTCTGCCTCTACCAAGCTCCCAGGTGATGCTGACCAACCTGGCCCAGGAAGCACACTCTGAATAGCAAGACTGAGGGGGACCCGGTTCCCTTAGAGGATGGCCCTTCTCTCCACTCCCCTGCTGTATCCTGGCCTTGAGTCTGTGGGCACCACACACAGTGCCCCAGGGTCCCCAGATACCGAGGATTAGTTTCCTTCTAACAGAGAAGGCCAGCTGGGCACTGGTCTCACCAGTGGTCTCACAGGCTCTGGGGAGGTTGGACTGACTCCTGGCAGCCAGGTTTCAGAGATGACTCTGGGGGAGAAAGGGGCAGGCTGGATGATGACAGGTGAGGGACCCACGGTCCATCCTTGATTGTCCCCAGTCTGGTCTCTGCTTCCAGGGACAGAGACCCAGGACCAGGTGTCTCAGGAGCTCCATTCCCAGGTGCGAAGGGGGTTTCCTGTGTATCCTGGGAAGAGAAGAGATGGTAGGAGGTCAGGTAGCTGCGGCTTCTGGAAATGTTTCGAGGAGACCCTCCCTCTCTGTGTCCATTGGCTGAACTGTGGCCCAGAGACAGTCCGTGTACTCTTGAGCGTCCTGGGCAGTCTGTGTCCTCTGCCTGGGGACCTTCCTGTGGTCACCCTGCTTCCCCCATGGGTGGTGCCAAGCAGGGAATAGGGAGCTGCACAGGGACCCCTGACAGATCAGGGTGCTCCTAGGGCCCTAGAAGGAGTGGGCAGGACAGAACAGGCATGTGGGAGGGACCCAGTGCTCCTTCCGTCCTGGGAGAAAGGGATGGAAACCAGGCTCCTCCTCCCCCTCAGCCAAAACCAGCTTCAGGGTTTAATGTCCTATGTGTTGCCTGCATGTCCCTACGTCGTCCCCTGGAGGCGAGTCTGGGGGCAGCATGAAGGCTGCCGATCAGGCTCCAAAGGATGAGGGTCCCTGAGCTCTGGGCAGAGGTGAGTGACTGGTCAGGCCGGGTCCTGGTCCCTGTAGGTCCTAGACTGACTGACTCCATCCCAGGGCAGCATGAGCCCAGGGAGAAGACAGGCACAATCTAGAAGATTCCTGCTCTTGTGTCAGGAGAATTGTCCACCCAGAGGGATTTTCTCCCTCAGCAGGAGCTGTCCTCGAGATTTCAAGGAATGACCTCGTAGGGGTCTCTTAAGCCTTTGGGGAAAAGGTGCCAGCCTGGGGGCTGGACCCCACAATGTCCTGTCTCCCCATCATAACAGGGAGGGGAGCTATCTGTGTCCCTGTCTCTCCTCTGCTCTAGGTCTCTCCACAGGAACCAGGAGCTGGGGTGGCCCTACCCAGAGACTCAGCCCTGGGGGAAACACAGGCAGATGCTGGGTTCTCCTGTCTCACCTACCTGGGAAGTTCCCCCTTGTTCCCCAGGAGAACTTGGGCTACTGAGACATCTTCAGGGAGACATAGCAGGTGTCCCCACAGACCAGGGGTCCTCAGGATGAGGAGTCAGCTCCTGATGTCTTTGGAGGTCAGGGTAGGGCTCTGAACTCCCCTGGTAGTAACCGCATCCGGGTTTGTGATCCAGAATTTGTGCAAGGTCAGATCTCTGAGAGAAGAGGAAGGACACAGGCTGCCCATCCAGGCCTTCCAAGGGAGAAGTCATTCACAAGATCCAGATGGGAGGGGGTGTCCATGTTGTGGGAATGAATGGGGGTCCGACCTCTAACTGTAGGAGGCCCCTGTCCTTCCTCCTGAATCTAGGAGGGGTAAAGGCCCGACAGCTTACAGGGACAGCTTCGGGCACGTGCTGGCCTCCTCCCATGCAGATGCCAGTGGCCTCAGTCTGCAGGGAAGAGGCTCTGACCCCAGGTTCACATGGGGGGACATTGTGTGCTTTCCCTCATGCCTTCAGCGAGTATTTACTGGGCATCTGTGACATGTCAGGCCTGGGCTGGATCCAGGGAACTCCACAGAGAACAGGACAAATGTGGGCCCTGGACTCGTGGGTTTAACCTGTACCAGGGCCAGCAGCACTAGAAAATCATGGCACTGAGGGGTCAATTATCAAAAAGAGAAGGGCCAGGAAGGGAAAGTGTCTGGTGCGACTGACACATGTCAGGGGGTCTTTGCTGATGGGGGTCCTATGGAGCACTCCTGAGAAAGTGACCTTTTGGCTGAGACTGGAAGCATGAGTGGACCTTCGCCCCTTGAAAGACAGAGGGTGTGGAGGGACGAGCTGTCCACAGAGGGACCAGTCTCAGTGGGCAGATGCCTGGCTGGCCAGAGGTGCTGACAGAATCCAGTGCGGGGAGCCTGGAGAGCCAGGAAGACTGTGAGTGAGTGAGCCTGGGGAGGGTCAGACCCTGCTGGGTGTGGGCAGGCTGAGGAAGGCTCCCGGCTGCGGCGCAGCTCTACCGCCCTCTGGTGGACAAGGAGGGAAACGTAGAAGACCAAGTCAGGGTGCCAAGCCATTCTTCATGTTTATTCAACATCAATCTGTGGATATTTCACATGGATCACATATCGTGTTAATACTCCATCATATTCTAGCTCTCTGAGTCCCAGTGTCTGCTGTTGTAAGTACATTGCCTTGCCTCTTCCCTCAGTAAATTGTCACCAAACTCCGATTTCCAGGAACGTGTATCAATGTGTGTTGTCTCCAGTTAAGTTATACTGTGTGTGTCCCTGAGCGGCAGTGATTTGTGTGGCTGGAATGCTGGCTGGTAGGTCTGTGGGGAGAAGGAGGAGGAGCAGGGAGCTGGGTGCATCAGGAGGGGAAGGTTTGTGTCAAGAGGGCAGAGGGAGGAAGATGGATAATTAACTTTCCTTCTCACTCCCAGGACCTGGCATCAGCACAGGGTCCTCGACCTGGGAACACACAGCACCACACACCTCTCTGTGTCCCCAGGCCAGGTGAGGTGGGAACTGCTTCTCTCCTATTCATCAGGATCTGGGCCTCCTGGGCCTCACAATGCTGAGATGACTTTACACTCAGAGTCTCACCCAGCACCTAGGAGTACCCCCACCTTAAGGCCTGTGTTCCTCCTCTCCCCCTCCCCCTTCCCCATCCCCATCCCTGGAGTTTCTGTCCTGCACCACCTTCTCTCTGGACCTCTGTGGCTGGCCTTGGCCAGTGGCCCCACCTACTCCTGCTTGAGGCAGCTGCTCCTGAGGTCGCCGGGGCCTCACAGTCTCTGGGCCCACTAGCCATCATGTGTGGGCGGAGAGAAGTGAAGCTGAGATCACCGTTCTTCTAGGCGCTGCTCTCTCTGGATGGCCTGGAGTGATGTGTCAATGGAATCATTATTGTATCTCCTGGTAGAAATATTCCTCCCTTTGGAACTAACTAACTTCTAGGTCAGCAGCACATAATGCCACAGGGACAGGAAACGACATTTTGCTGGTGGATCACGAGAGGTATAGTGAGCGGTACTACTCCCATTTCTAGCCCTCGATTCCTAGACATGAGAATCCTGGCTGTGGGAGAAACCGCACAGACTGGATGTAGACTCAGAGCATGTAGAGCTTCCTGGAGTCCTTCCCTCCAACCCTAGCTGTTGCTGTCACTGGGTGTCCAAAAGTCAAGCCCCACTTTTCGCTCAAAATAGCTGCTTCAGGATTATGATGAATGTGCGCACACACTGCTGCATTTTATTTGCTCTGAAGTGAGTCCCTTGATCAGAAACAGTGCTGTGTGGAACACTGTGGCAGTTGAGAAGGCATTCTGTGAACCCATGGATGGTGGTTTCGCCAGGAGCTTTGTGTGTAGGGAAGGCAAATCTGTATCCAGAGTGAGTATCCATCCAGTAAGAACAAAACAGTGCTCCTTCCGTCCTGGAAATGGTCTGTCATCAACCTGCCAGCAGACAGCTGTCTGGTCACCCTGGGGAATGGGGCCATACCAGGGACCCAGTGTTGGTCTCTGAGCTGGCAAATGGAGCATTCAGCGGTGGCCATGGCTAGGTTAGCCTTGGTGAGCCGAAGTTCATAATGCTGAGCCAGTGCATAAACCGCCCCCACTGTGGCCACTTTGTTCATGAGCCACCCAGGGAATGACAGGTTGGCTAGGGAAAGAGGCTGACTGATTGATAGCCACAGAACAGGCCACCAATCCACTTAAGTATTAAAATCTTCCCATGCTGAAGTGCATGGTGAGCATTCAGAATGATCTATCCACATACCTTCTCCCCAGACCTCCTTGTCACCGATTTTCCAACCATGTTCCTTCCAAGTGTCTGACCATGTAACCAGATCATTAGCCACAACCCGTGAGTCAGTACACAACCATACCCAGGCCATGTCTCCTTCCAAGCACAATGAACAACAGGTGCACTTCCTGAAGCTCTCCCCACCAAGAGGATTTCCCTTCACCCCGACCATCAGGAATGTTCCAGAAAAGGGCTGTCATGCAGGAGCTGTCCACTTTGGAGTGGTGTCTGCCTGGCATGCAGAACCATCTGTAAACCAGGCCTGAG